CATATCATTGTTCGCTTTGAGAGAGATGTGTCCTCTCAATTAGTACCATAATTCAACTTAAATCTCTAATCGGACAGATGTAGACTCGAATAGTTACATCATACCAATACGTAGTTTATTTTGACAAGATTAAATACTCACTAATTCAACCATTGGTGAGAGTATGAGTCAACAAACATAGTGTGTTCATTGTGCTAAGCATGATTCTATTAATTTTATGTCTTAATGCATACACAACGTTTACTAGTTACTCTTTAATTTCGTTGAATATGTTGTGTTGATTCATAACTATATTGAGAGGTACAATTCTAAACTTGATTTGGTACCACTTGTGTAAAATTAGTAAATTCGTGAAAATCAATGGCAAGAAAAATGCTAATTGGTAGATTTTGAAATTCAAATAGAGTAGCTAATTAATTAGTTTGATAACTGTCTTATCGCGTTACACTGCCAGTGTGGTCCTGGTAGTGCCAATGGTGGCAAAGTGGTTAAACCCATTATTATGAGAAATTTTCTGGATAACTTCGCATTTTAATTCATTTGTATTAGTCCTCCCGTGTATATTTTATTTTTGTCCAGGATTTTTTGGTTATATTAAAGATATTCAATTTTTGCTCATTGTAGTACTTATGGTCATAACTTTTTCTCGTAGCATTTTTATTTTCAATATTTTATTAATTAGTACATTTTGATTCTGATTATGAAGATTTTCAGTCAAAAAGTCATTACGAAGACGTAAAAATATTTATTTGTCCATCGTATTTTTGCATATAGATAACAAAAAATACTAAAGTATGACAAAATATTCGTCTCTCATTTTGAAACACACTAATATAATAAGCGCTAATTTAGGAAATATTGAGAAGAGTTACATCAGATTGAAAATAAATAGAGATTGAGAACTTTTAGTGTAATTTTAAAATATCGGAATAAAAGAAAATGTGGAAACAAATGCCCTTGTTTGGACTCCATTCAAATTTTGGAGAAAAATGTATTTTGAGATAGTGATTTTTTGAAGAATTATAGTTAAAAAAAAAAGAAGAAATTTAGATTTATGTGTAATTTTATTTTATTAAAGAATATATAATTAAAAAAAAGAAGAGAAAAATGTATTTTGAAAGAAATGGAGCCAGTGTTATAAAATTTGTGTTTTGTTTTAATGAAAAAGACGGAATTGAATTTAGAAAGATTTGATGCAGAGGAGAAATGTAGAGAATTTCTGTGATGTATTCATTCTCATTTTTTCCGGGAAAAAAATGCTGTACAAGTATTGTATATATAGAATACAGAGGAATAAAATAAATCCGTTGGTTTCTAACTAAGAGGAGAATTTACAGCTGAATGTTACAAACTTCTGGCATATTCTTTCTAATCCTAATTCTAGAATATCCTTGTCATTCCTTTCTGGAAACTTCTTCACCTGCTGAGTAGATGTGGGCTAGTGTCTGCAGTAATTCTTTTCTTCAATCTTCAACAGCCCCCTGCAAGGTGGAGAGTAGATGTCTTCTACTCCCATCTTGGACAAACACGAATAAAAGCTTTGTGAGCCTAGGCTCTTTGTGAAAATGTCTGCCACCTGCAGTTTGCTTGTCACATGCTCTGTTGAAATGCAACCTTCTTGAATATTGTCTCTAATTAAATGACAATCTATCTCTATATGTTTTGTCCTTTCATGGAACACGGGATTGGTGGCAATATGTATAGCTGATCTGTTATCACAGTACAAAGATGCAGCCTGTGGAT